CCCCTGCCCGGCTCGCGCCGCGTCGCTTGGTGCTTCCGGTCCCTATGCAGTCGCGCTCCCCGTCCGGAACGGATAAGTGTACAGATCGAGAGGAGAAAATTGGCGGGGGCGTTTACCAGGATCGCCGGCCCCGTCTGGCGCCACATCTGGAAAACTAGATCTTAGATCACAAGCATTGCCTTTTAAAACAAGAAAATATTTAACTTAACTTGAAAGCATTCCCATTCCTTAGCCTTTGGGGGGAAAAATTGGTAGTTTTTATTAGGGAAACATTTCCTTGAATAGATTTTGCACTTTTTGCAAGGATAGTATTTTCTGGGTGAGCTTGCGGCGTTAGGCCGAGCTAGACAGCGCGAGAGCGCCGCGTGGCCCTTCCATAATGACAGCGTTAACGATCGCATGCGCCCTGCCCTGACCTCCACGCACTGCTCGCCACATGTGCAACCTTCATCGCTCGAGAACCATGCCGGCAAAAAAGAATAAAACAAAAAAAAAAGTATTCTATTATTAAAATGATGCATAGCCGTTTGGATTAGATATATCACCGTGTAACTTGCACTGCGGCTAGGTCACACTTCTTCTGACTCACTGAGTTACAACAGTAAAGTTATGGATTGGAGTCACCTGGATCGGGTTACATGATAAATTTCGGACCGATAGGTGAAGCAAAGCAAAGCAAAGTGAGAGTGACATGGAGTGAACGCTCGTGTCTTGGATTAACTTCACCATGGCGGCATGCATTCGCGCGCCTCGCTCGGAGGTGGGCAGCGCGCTTGACGACCACAACGCCACGCTGGCTCGCCAGCACAAGAACATCATCCAGGTAAACAAGGGGACTAACATCTTTACTGTCAACCCCAAACCTAACCAGTTCAAGTGATTCCCAACACAATCTGTCGTCGGCCTGGAGCTGACCCGTAATATTTGATCTCACCCGCTATAACCTAACCCACCATTACGCTGCTCACTTTGATCGCGCAGCCGAGCCTAACCCCATTCGCTGCTGTTCGGCTGCGCGAGCTGCACGTGGAGTGCGTTTACGGCCTGCGATGTGTTTGTTGATCCTCTGTGAGGCCCGCCTTGCAACGCCCCGCTATGTCCCGCCACGCCACGTGGCGTCTAAACATGAAAGCTTATTTTAAAATTCATGCCGAAATGGACAGCGAGTCGAACCCATCTCGGAGGCATGTAGTGGCTAGTGGCTGATGGTTGTAATACTAGGACCCGACTTTCCAATTGCATTGATCTTAAATAGCTCCGCATGAGCCGCTTCTTTTGTGTTTGCTAACCCCGTCTCGTGCCCCATGAGGGGGGTGTGGGATCCCTGCGGGGGGAAATATTTTGAATGGGTCTGGCTTGCTTGGTCCAAAAACAGGAGGTTTCCATGTTCTCGCAATTTCTGTCGTCATTATAGTGATATAACCCAATGACGTTTCTAAGAAAAGAAAATTCCAGTAGGTCTGGAATTTAGGGAAATTCTGAACAGGCCCCTAAAACACCGTCCATCTCTCTATTTGTGTTGCAGATATATTCGGACTGGGCGAACCACTACCTGGAGAAGGCGAAGTGTAAGCGTCGCATCAAAGACCTGCAGGCGGACGTCGCCGACGGCGTGCTGCTTTCGGATGTGGTGGAGGCCGTCAGTGAGTATCAGTAGTTTTGCACTAGACTCTTTGGAAAAGACCCGGTACAGTAGTAGTCCGTGGTGAAGTGGATGATGCATGAAAAAGTGTTGTGCCTGCCACTGGAAGCCCTGCGCTCACTTGTACCTGTCAGGTTCGGGAGGGGCGGCAGGGGGTGGCAGACGGCGCGGGGACCTCGTTCGGTGTTAAATTAATGATAGTTTCCCCGGCGTGACGAGGGTCGCTTGAGCCCCTTGCGATGTAAATGCCCTGGCCGGAAGGAAAAAGTCAACCCTGCCACAGCGGAAGGGGGAGGGGATGATGAGGTCCAGGTCACTGCAACCAAAAAGGCAACAGCCGAAAACTCGGCCAAAGCAGCCTAACTTTTTGTGAGTAAATTTTCTAGTTCCCATGCGGACACAACGTGCTACGTGCTCGGCGTATTTTCGTGAGTGCGCCCTCCTCGCCAGCCGGGTCGGGTGACGGTTGGGGGTTTGTCGGTAAATCACCTGAGGCTCATTAATTCCCACCATCACGCATGATGATGATGATGTGGGCATGTGTTACAGCTGGTCCGCACTCCGCCCTCGTCAGTCTCGTCTTCTCCTCCTTTTTGTTTTGTGTTATTTTTCTGCTGTGCGTAATCATCATCATAAGTTGCAATTCAACGCTCTAATACCGTCCCCCTTACGCAATGTACGCGCGCTCTGAAAATGTGACAAGTGGGTGTGTTACGAAAGAGAATTAATAGAGAACGTGTACTATGTACTCAAGTTTTTATTCGCTTCTCGCAAATAACTCTTACAATTGCATGTTTCATGGTGATTTTCTCTCGTCACCTTCCGAGTCAGCAATGACGTTTTAAACCGGGGGGTGTCATTTCAGTTGGTGGCTGCAGGATTGCCTTGCAGCCTTCTGAACCTGTGTTTACGCCCGTGTGTGTGTGTGTGTGTGTGTGTGTGTGTGTTTAATATGTGGCGAGTGAGTGTGTGCGTCTTTTCGCTAGCTTTGCTCTGTTTGTCGACTAAGAGGGGTGGATAAGACCGCCTTTTGCGGCAAAACCGAAAAAAAGGTCCACGGAGGAGGGAAAAAAACAAACTTGATATCAGGGCAAGGGGAGGTCCTTCGGGGTGAAAGAGGATCAGCGAGAGAGCATGCGGAGAAAAGAGGGGGGGAGGATAGGGAGAGGGTAGGAGAGCACTGAGCAGGTTGCCGCTATCCACGCCTTCCACCTTGAGCTGGCTGACACGCTGCTGCAACCGATAAAACAAAATTGGCCAGATAGAGGAGGAGTTTGGAGATTACTGTAATGCATTGAGATTCTTTGTTGCCATATATACCAAAGCGCTTTTCCCTCCTTTTTAATTCTTGCAGATTTTAGACTCTCCTTCCTTCTCAAGCATCTGCTCAGGCGTCTGCTGTTGCAGTTCGGTACGGTCTGCGGCCAAGTCCTTACGGTGGTCGCCGTGTGGAAGGAAGTGGACTGAAAACATTTTTCTTTATCGGATTTCGTGAGCGAATTGAATCGGATATTGGCCGGCGGGTCGCTGCGCTCGCTGCGCCCTGCGCCCTGCGCCCTGCGCCCCTCGGCGCCTTGTTGCGTTATGCGATGGGGTGTCTTTTCATAAATCTTGTTATTTTCCCATTCATCACGCTCGCATGCATGGCTGCGCTGCATCGCACACCCAATTTGCCGTATATTTTTTCACGTGCCCTTTCCCTTTTTTGGTGATGTAAGTGGATTCTCAGTGCTAGATTGACCATTTCTAGTTTTCCATCCTTCTTTGGAAAAACCTGTGTGAAACATATCCCGTTTCACAGATAACAGATTTGTGTAACTGGTATGCACATTCTAGTGTTCATGGTGGTACACAAGTTTTGGTGTTTGACAGATTTGAATAGTTAAAGTGTTCAAATTGTTGACCACTTTAAAGTGTCCAAAGTTGCAAAATTACTCTTAAACAATTTTCAAATATCCATTCTAATACTTTATGTACTGTGAATAAAAGTTGGAATTTTCCAACAAAATTTCGTCCGAATAGTTTGGAAACACAATTTTCCAGAACCTTGTTGGAAAACAAAATTTCTAGTCCTCCTCTTGGAAATTTCTGAACAATTTGGAAAACAAAAATGGAACCATTTCCCACCAGAAGTAAGATAAGTAACATCAAAAATGACTACCTTCGAATATTGTTATAAAAATGTTAGTCAAACGTTTTTAAGTTCCATAAAGTTCAGAATTTTCTAAACAGTCTCTAGGAAATTGAGTTTCCAAACTGTTTGGATTTCACATTTTACAAGTTGTACGGGGTGCAAATTTTCCAGTTAATTGTTAAGAATATTCCAAAAAACGTTTTACAGTGTGAACAGTGTTGAGCACGTGAAAGTTAGTTGCTCATTTATGTGATCAGTGTTCTTCTTGTGACGTCTGGTCACATTTCAGTTCTTCTAAATCACTGCGTAAGCTTCGGAAACAAAAATCACACGACATGAATGTAATTTTTTAAGAGACCATTAGGTTCCTCGTGAAATTTTAGATGTCGAACTGACGTGCATCAGGTGGGAATTGCAAGCCAAGGGCCCAGCCGACATCAAACTCTAGAAATCGTTGACTTGCATGTGCTTTGCTTCTCTGTGGCATGTGAAATATCGGATTTTTAGTGGGATCGTTGGGTGAATTGCGTTGAGAAGTTGAATCATACTTGACTTCGTTTTATTGATGCATTACTGTTCTTTTTCTTACAGCTGGCCTGAAGGTTCCGGATATCAACAGAAAGCCCAAGAGTTCTTCTCAAATGGTGAGTAAATTTGTTAGTAAAGCGCCCTGACTCCTCTCTGTACTCTCTTTTGCACAGTACAGTCTGCCCGTACCCTGGTCCAGAAGGGTGCAGCAGAGTACAACGGGATCTGGAGGAGAATATCATCCCCGAAACTGCTCTCTAATGTATATCTGAGAGGAGCGTGATGCTTCCATGCGCAATAAATTAATCTGCGATTTCTTGCACGGTTGCGGTGTTATCTCTCCCAGACGTGATGGCACTTGCTTGATTTACTGCTGCAACTCCCCGGCAGCCCTCTGCAACCCCTTCCCCTTCCAACCGCCCACCCTTCGCTTTATGACAACCAAACTAAACGTCTTTTGCGTTACGTTACGCCCTTGTTGAGCACTACAGCTTGATCGATGTCCTCTCCTTGTTATGGCCCGTCTTGACCGCTTGCCTCGGGTAACATAAGCCCCAAAGCCTGGGGCAAGCCACCTTAATTGGAATATATGGGGGGCGTGCATAGCGCAAGTCCCCCCCTCTCTCTCTCTCTCTCTCTCTCTCTCTCTCTCTCTCTCTCTCTCTCTCTCTTTCTCTCTCTTTCTCTCTCTTTCTCTCTTTCTCTCTCTTTCTCTCTTCCTTCCCCACCCTTCTCAGGATGCTGGGCACCATAGTCTCTGATCATAAAGTAGCTCAATTAAGCGACTTTAAGTATCCTCAGAGTGGCCTTCGCTTGTCTTTGGTGCCTAACACTACGACTTTGACTTAAGCTAAGAAAGAAAGACACACGAGAAAAAAAAATAATTTTCCAGATTAATAAACTGACTAAGTTTGCACGGAAAAAAATGGTTGGTCGTGGCAACCGAAAGTCGATCGCCACGACCATTTCTCTCGATAGATACCAGCAGTGTCGACTTTCTGATTGTGACAACCAAGCGGCATAGCTGCAGCAGGTTAGTTGCGACAACCGACGGGTTGATCGTGGCGATCAGAACCGCTAATAGCAGGAATCGAACTTTACTTGGTTGCAGGGTCTGTTTTACACCTCGTGGCTGCAGCTAAAAAGTTGATCGCCGTGATCGATTTGTCGTCTTGAAGGACATACTAAACGGGCGTCAGTTGTTTTGTCTGATTTTTTACTAGAAATTAATATTGAAGTTTGAGATCAAGATCCTGCGATCCACTGAGGTCCGGCAGATATTAAAAATCGACAAGTGTCAACAATCGCCCCAAGACGATTATTTGTCAGACCCTTTTTCAGAGTAGCGGAGGCCTCACCGCGAGGTAACAGAAATATAAGCGTATCTTTTCAAATAATTAACTAATGGTTTTCAATACTCGAAATATAATTTCAAATGGTTGTTATCTTGCCGTAGGAAGGAGTTATTCGCGTAAAATGGTCGCGGGTGAAATGAAATTAAGGAAATAATCATTCCGGGTTGTGAAAGGAGTGCCACGCTGCACGTTATTCTGATTTCTACCGCTAGGTGGCGACAAGGCATAGTGGGCAACCCCTTTTCTCTCGCACGTCCCTGTAGTGATCGTCGACCTAGGTAAACGGCGCCGGGTAGTTACCACGAGCAAGCCACTTGCATGGGCGCAGCCAAGCCAGACTGTAGGGTGGAGTTTGATTGTAGCGACCGAGCAGACCCTACGAAGCGAGTTGTAACACGAGAAGGAACTCAGCCGGCTGCCACTACCAAGCGGTCCGATGCCTACAACCAGTTCAGTCTCAACCAGGACAATCTGGCCACCACGACCAACCCTTTTTTTTCCGTGTGGGATAGTGAAGGAATTCACTTTGGCACCTACGAATTAGCAGTCAGAGACAAGAGTTAGTTCTGACACCGAACCTGGCTGCCGATACGAAATTTTTCAAACCTTTTGTCATTTCTCTACACGTGTCCTATACCGTAACGTCCCAAGACGTCTCTCGCATACTCCACACGTGGGAAGCTGCGAGCGAGCGCGGGGTATCGCCGCCGTTCCGAGGTCTTGCGAGGCGCGGAGTACGGGCGTCCATGTGGTGTGTGTGTGCGGCGTTACGTTGCCTACGTTCATGAATGAACTAGGCAATGTTACAAAGAGACTGATCCTTAAGCTTCATCTCCCCGATCTCTTCGGAGATGGTCAGGGAGGGTTGAGGGAGTGGGGGATAAGACTCGAGGTTTCAGGGGCATAGATTTGCGAACGAATTTTCGATATTCTTGAGGTCTTTATCCGTTTTATAACGAAAACTACCCTACGATTCACATTTCAAGGGCGTAAACGCTGATTTAAACTGAAACCTAAACCTAATCTGGACACATGAACTCTACCCGAATCTCTCTGAAGAGGTGGGTGAGTGTCCTCGAAGCTTTATTAAATATAGCAATAAGCGATGTTTCTCTTCTGATCTGTGAATTCCATGTTGTGAGTTATAAAACCCATTTACTCAGCTCTCGCGTCGTTTTCGATGTGTACCGTAGTTCTACAATGCTATCCCTATTCGCAGGACGTTCAGACTGCAATACAATATACTAACAAGTGTGCAAAATTTGCACTCCACCGCACCGTTTTAAAAGTTCAAACGTACAACCTAGGTAGACGCCACGAAGTGTCTAGAAAATGCACACTTGAACTTAAACGTCAGTTGACGTACAAAATTAAACACTTGTTTTATCAGTGTAGGATCACACTGTTTTTCAAACTAGGTAGATGTACGCCAGACCCTTCTCGCGTAACACGCTTCCCGATACCTCACGAAACACTGTTACGCTGCAACGCTCCTGGCATACATCTACCGAGGCCAGCGGCGCTGATTCGGGCAAAAGACAGAGTCGTAAATAGGCCTTTGGCCCCAAAAGCCATACAAATTTGGTCCATAGGGTTTTATTTGGACGAGTTTCCCCACTGGAGACCATCAAATATCTGAGGAAAGACATTTAAATGTTTTGGGGCCATTTCCGTGTGGAAAACTTCCTCTGGCGCCTAAACGGTTAGAAATGGAAAATAAACGGATAAAACTTCGTTTTTGGGGGGTTTACTTTGACGAGTTGCCCTATAGTTAACCATGAAACATTATTTCAAACTTATTTGCAATATTTTCCAAATGCTCGAATGCTCGAACAATTTTTGAGCAAGAAGGCTCAAAATCATAAGCTATCTCAGCTTATTATCAGCTTTATGTAGACCATTTCTTTTTCATGTCGCTTTTTGTCCCTTTGAAAAATTTACTTGACCTAAGAACCCATTTTCTGGGAGCGTATTTTGTGGTGACCGACCCTCCACACTCGCCTGGTCCCGCGCTGCCGCCGGCACGCTGGCCTTTACGAGGCGTAAACGCGCTCTGGAAGGTGCCAAAAGCCGGCGATCGTGTGAGATATTGAGACTAGCCGGCTCAGGCCCTGCCGTGGGCTCCGCCGTGCGGTCCACCTCCCGGCCGGGACCGAGCTGTTCAACGGCCGCACCGACAGATTTTTATACCTTGTCAGGAGAATTTATGTGGCCCTTCGCCTACAGGCCGTCGCCGTGAAGGCGGTCTGCAGCGGGCGCGGGGAGGGTGAGGAGGAGCGCATTGGGCGCGGAGTATGTCTGGAGGGGTTCGAGGGGTATGTCCCGATCCGGGGCGGCCTTCCCTGAAGACACGACTTCTTGTTCCGAACACGCTGGAGCCTCCGAGGGGGAAACGACTACGAGATCTCGTCTACTATCGGGATTATTCTAGAGTACTCACCCTTGGTTACATCTAAGTCAATCCTGGATTATCCTTGGACCATCGCCGGATTACCCTCGATTACCCCTGAATTGATTACCCGCGGAGTATCCCTGATTGAAGCAGGCAGTGTCTAGTTAATATTACTTAAGTCGTTTCCTCCTCGGGAACCACAGTATCCTCTGGCCGTATGTGGCTGTGCCTGGGGAGTGATACGTCAGCTTACTTGACCTGAAGGCGGCGGAGGGCGGCCATTTCCTATGCACCTGCGTGCATCGACGGGCACGTTTGCGTTCGGCGGTCCGTCTGACGGCTTCGTGTGACTCAGCGGTGAGGTTGTCGGACGCAGGGCGCAGCGAGCGTGCTGGGGCGTGCAGGAGGGGCGTGCCGGGTGCGCCACGGGTCGGACGGCACGCCCGGCACGCCCCTGCGCCTCGCCGCACCACGCCCCGCCACACCACACCACGCCCCACCGCACCTGACAATGGCGGTGTCTCCTTGAGGTGGGTTACAGCAGTGAAGGCTACCGCACCGCTGCCGTGTGCCAAAGGGTGGACCTCGACGTCTTGAACGGCTTTTCTCTTCAGTCAGCTTTCTTCGCACTGTTCAATGACGTACTTCGGTTCTCATTTTGTCGTGTGGGGAAAGGCCTAAGATAGAGGTGGTGGGGCTCGTCAAATGACTGGTCAAATGAATGGTTAGCAAAAATGTTGAGGATTATCTGAAACCTGGGCTGCTATCTGATCGATTGGATCGACAGATCAATAATAATAACAACAACAAGAAGCGATATATGAAACGGGTTCGTTGCGGCCAGCAGCGAACGTTGCTTCCATGTGCGGTGAACGGTGCTTCACTTTTTGTTATTTCTTTTATCGTGATTGTTAACTTTTCCGTGGCGGTGTAAAAGTCCGCCCGCCTTCCACCGGGTCTTTGCACCCGCCCCTCCGGAATGAATGAAAAAAGCCAAATCAACTTTATGGCTAGTTTTTATCGACTCCTACAATGGTGTAAAGTCCGACGTGTGTTGTCGCCGCGTGCGTTTTTGAATGGGCGCGCCGCGCGCTCGCCGACGACAGCGCGGTGACTCCGACAGGAAAGAAGGAGAAAGAGCATTTGCATAAGAGGGCTTTGTTTTGCGATAAATCCATGCTGATTTTACTTTGTGATGAGCCAAAGGGCATTCCCTCCAATCTTTTTCTCGTTCGTTTTGCCTGAGCTTGCGTGCGTCAGTTGACTCAATAGGGAAGTCGCGGACTGCCTATTGTTTGCATGAAATGAAGAATCTCCTGAAAAGGTCAACCGCGTTACATTTATTATTATTATTATTATTATTAATATT